CATCTACTCGAATATGTTTGAAGATGTTCGATCTAGTCACATATGTGCAATCCACTCAAATGTGTTTAAATGTGATCTAGTCGAAGATGTTCGTTTTTGTGAAATATATTCATTCTAGTCGAAGATGTTCGATTTAGTCGAATATGTTCGATCTAATCGAAAATGTTTTTTGGAAGTTTATTTGATGACCTCATTCTAACAACTTCAACAGAACACTGTACCCAACACTGGGACTCCTATTTCTGATAATTTTATGCTTTCTGAGAGGATAATGGTGTTTCAGGCAAGCTCATTATGTTTACTAAAATAATAAATTAAATTTAAAAAAAATTCTTCATATTGACAGTCAAGCTAATTATGTACCGCCTTTTGGGAGGATAATGGTGTTTCAGGCCAGCTCATTATGTTTTCTAGAATAATAAATTAAATTTGAAGAAAAAATCCTTCATATTGAAATTCAAGCAAATTATGTGCCGGGTTTAGTATGGACCTAAATGAATTGTGTTGGTGAGCTCCATTGCTATATTCTCGGGGAAGTAGTCGTAGGGAAATTAGTCATATTTACTAAATTCGTCAAAGATATTTTCTCAACCAGTTAGAAAATCGGGAAGACCTCGCAATAATATTGTAGCAATGGGACTACCTTTACTATTACCTTCACTTATTCATTTATATGCAGCTCGCAATAGGACAACTACTCTCTCAGCTACTCGTTGATCTCTACAACACTAACTAGTTGTCTTATCGCAAACTAGTTGTACCTAACCGAACGCAAAATAATGGTTATGGTTAACTTAAAAAATTGTTGGGCAATACTTCAGTAAACTTAATATGGCTAATAAATTTTTTATGTAAAGTAAAGAAATAACATTTAAAAAGACATTTAAATATCTTTAATGTTCACGCTGTAATAGAAAGAAAATAAAATTTTAAAAATATAAATTCTTGGAAGGAAATTTTTATATAAATGCGAGCAATGAAGTGTAATGAATCTGTAAATGCTATTGATGATGGTTTTGTGGCACTAATAAAATGAAAAACTGTTGAAAGTATTATAAATACTAATATAAAATAAGAAGAAAAAATATTTTTATTTCTGTGGAAAATGTAAAATATGTGCAAATGTAAAGAATGAACTTAAATACACTGCAAAAAAAAAGAAAATAAAATTTTCGATATGAATGTGTACGAGCGAGTATAAAATGAATCAAAGTATGCGAAAGTAATAAATTTGTTAAAAAGCATAATAAATAAAGTAATAATAATGTTTTTATTACAAAGACGTCAAAATTAGGTACATGGGCAGGGAATCAAAAATACGAGTAATGCTCCAGCTCCAACTCCAACTCCAGCTCCAGCTACGGCTATGGCTACGGCTACGGCTACGGCTACAGCTTGAGCATGTGAAGCAGCCAACCAGCCAAACAGTTAAGGAACTAAAGCAGCGAAGAGGAACTTTATGCCCCTCGTGCTTGAGCTGCGAATATTATAAAGAGCAGCTATTTATGCCTTTAATGATGTATCATAAATTATTATACGTTGCTATTTTATTTTATTGTTTCACTCGCTATTGAACAGCAAAGTGAAAGTAGCGTTAAAAACGAACCTCAACAAGGCTCACCGAAACCCACACAAAGCTCTCTACAAATCTAACCGAATCTCAGGGAAGCGCTTCAAAGCAAATGAAAGGAAGCGCTTCTAAAGAGCGGCAACAAGGCACAAAATTTGCTTTACTTTGTAAAATGTTAAACGTAAAAGCACAAATGCAATTTGTGAAGTTCCTGCTCGCCATTTTTATGGACTTTTTTCCTACGTTTTTATTTGTTGTGGTTTTATGCTTCCGTTTCCGTTTTCTGGTATTAACATTTTTATTTTTATAACAATCTATGAATTTGCTGAATGCGCACTTTATTATTATTGAAACGTGCTAGAGGATAGAGAATACCGTGTGGTCATATTTATTATAGCAGCGGCGAGCACCTGTGGAACTCTTCGGTTTCTTTACAATATTTTTTCTAGATTTTTTCCTTTTTTTTTTTCTTGTTTGTGTGTATTAAATTATGATTTGCATAAGTCAATTTTAAGAGAATTGCTTCTGTTGTTTCTAGTGTTTGTGTTCCTGTAGATACTTTGAAAGGCTTTATGACTTGCTTTCTACAAAAATCTGTAATCGCTTTCTTGCACACTTAGCGTATTTTTCACTTCAATTTAATTTGGTATGAAATTTTTTTATTTTTTTCAAATATATATATTTTTTTTTTTTTGCCATGAAAATTGTTAAAATATAATTGCTAAACGAAATTTAACGAGCTCATTAATTTCAAAAAGGAATTAGAATTACGTGTTTGTTAAATTACGGCATAAAAGTATGATTGCCGGGGTTGACGGGGTGACAGGTAACTCAGAAATGAGTGTTTTGGTCGTTAACATTTTTATTACGACAATTGTTCATAATAATTATTATAACAAAAATGCTTAATTAAATAATTAAACTTAATTGTTAACAGCATTCAAAAAAAAAATTATGTGTTTTACTTAAACAGCTTAAACTGGTACAATAGGTCTCTTCTGGCCGCAGTACCGGCTGTTGGGCAATTTTCACGTATACTCTTTATTAATTAATTAATTAAACAGCTTTGCTTTTTCTTTTAGCAAATTGCAAATTAAAACTCAAGTCTTCTAATTTTTTAATTACTAAATATAATAAATTATACAAACTGAATTTTAGTTATATTAAATTGAATTATATTAAAAATTAAATTAATTAAAATAATATAAAAAGAATTTTTGTTGTTGTATAACACTACTTTTCGAAATTTCTCTACCAAATATATTAGTATTTATTAAATAAGTAGTCTCTTCCATCACAAACTGACTTTAAATTACAACTACTATCAAAAATATATGGGCTCGCCCGAGTTATGTACCATCACCCCACTAATCTAGACAACGACTCATTAGAAGAGATCATTTTGTCCTAAATAAATAAGTCTATCCTAATGTAATAACTAGTGTGAAAGAAGACTTATATTTTAAATACAACAGAAATCGGTTTAGTTATCTCAAATAATAAATACATACCATATATAACGATAACTAAACTCAAATAAACCTAAGTAAATAATTATAATTTATGTGAGTCTATTATCGCGATTTGCTGAGTCAAATCGTTGTTATAAAACGTGCGAATAGTGGAGTATCTCTCCATATTTCATTCCTAGATTAGGTTCTATAGATTTAGATTTATAGATTTGAAATTTAGCAAATAAAAGTAAATATAATTAATTAATTCAAAAATATCATAGGCGGATCATTATTTCGTTCTAATATATAACACAGCAAATGAATTTGTTAATGAACTTTCACAGCAAATTAACAAAAACTCTAAGTTCGAAGATACAAGTCCAGTATAGCTTTGAGTCAGCTGACTAATCAATACTGACTCTGAGCTTCAAATTTGGCAGGGTACGAGTTCAAAACTTGATAATCAGTTTCAAAAAATTATTTGCAAATAATTATAACGTAAGAAATAATACTAAGACCACTGATGATGGGTATTTGCCAATGCTCTAAACAGCTGTATGGTCAGTTAAAAATTCAATTATTTAAAATAATATAAACAGAATTTTTGTTGTTGTAGTTCACTACTTTTTGAAATCTCTCTACTAAATATAGTAATAAAATAATTATAATAAAATATATAGAGATAACCTGCCGATTTTTTGAGTTTAATGAGAGCATATAACTATTATTACTAATCTATTTTCATTTAGATTTAACGAAGATAAATGATCATCATTTAGTGATCATAATATAACAGCTACTTCCTAGACTTAAATATTTAAAATATAACATTTATTCGTTTGTTTGTTGGTTTTGTTGTTGTTGTTGTAATAGTTTCCTTATGTTGTCCGTGCATTTCCTTGCGCATGGGTTTCTCTGTTGTTGCTTTGATCATATTGCTTTATATTAATTGCATTTGCTTGATGATTCTGTTGGCAAGAATTTGACAAACTACACTCTACAGAAAATGGATGGTATTATTACTAAAATTATACTATAATTTACTATACTATAATCTTCTCAGCATACAGATAATACAATGATTTACAGAGCATAACTACACTACGGGGCAACTTATACTTATATGACATTGCCTTAGTCCAACGTCCTTAAACAAAATCCTTAGCTTCATCTAATGTGCACTAAGCTACATAAGAAGCGAGCAAATGCATAAATATATAAATATCGCTGATAAAGAATAAACTAGTTAAATTCATATTCTTATACGAACAGGAAACTGAAATACATCCAAACTATTTGCTTAGATAACTACTAAAAACTCGACCATCATCCAGACAACACAAAAATAATTCACTTTCTCAAAAAATATTTAATCAATTAAATTAGTATACACTAACTAGTTTTCTAATATTTAAATGCTAGTTAATGTTAGTTAATAGTTTAAAGAATACAAAAAAAATTTAGTAACGTGAGCATAATTATCCTTTGCCTTCGTAAACTAAACTAACGCCTGCAGTAATATGATGAATAACGTCAGAATTATATGTTCTTATCACAACTAAATTATGTAGACAAAATTAGATAATATAATGATCATCTAGTCTATATAACTATGCAAGTCAATCACCTTTAATGCAGGTCATGCAAATGTATAGTATATGTATAATAAATAGAAAACATAACAGATATTGAAATCATTAATTTTAAAAATTTGAAAATTATTTTTAATATTCTAAAACTTAATTAAAAAATTATTAATACTATTCTTTAAATAACGAATAGACACAAGAAAATCAGAAAAAAATAATAGAATAGAAAAAGCTGAGCAATAGTAATATGATTACAAGTCTTTATCAGATAAGCAAGTAATCAAAATTAAAAACAAAATCACTAAACATATAATAATATTTATTAATTTACTATTAACATTACGAAAATACAAATTATTCATATAATTCATATATATTATATCAGAGGATTATGTACAATTGGCTGGCAAGTTTTATTTTCAATTATTTATAATTTATCATCGTCACCATAGTTATTACCACCATCATAGTAATATTCATCATTTAACATTTCAACAGGTGCGCTATGGCCTAGTAGTTCTACTGGACTACTTTTGGCAGCACCCAAAAACTCAATGTTTCCATTACCATTTCCATTATTAGCTAAGTGCTCAACTACTCCTGCGGCTCGAGTCATTCTATTGTATATCCTGCCAGGTGAGTGAACTCCTTTTAATTCGTAACTGATTCTCCTTGCAGATACACAATTTAACACAAGAAATGCGCTTACAAAATGGAATAAAAGTTTCATCTAAAATTTTTGCCTTTAATAAAGAAAATTGGACATCAAACCGATTTTTCACATACCATTTTAGCCATTGTTCTGATTTCAAGTTTTTGTCTTCAAAATTTCAATTTCATGATGGCACCTGATAGGTGACTACCTCAGTATTGAACTATTATTGCATCTAGAGGGGATTTTATACTGATCGTAGATAATGAAATTCAACTAAAAGTAAAATTTACTGAATAACTAAAAACAGATGTTCATTAACTTCTTATGCTTGATTTCTGTTACAAGAAAAAGTATGTAAGCTTATAATCTGATATATCAGTATATGTATATTATTTTAAAAATTGTGTACTGAGTATTTCATGAAAAAATTTTGTTGGTAGAAATATTTTCGCTTTATACGATATTGATATTCTTAAATTCCGATTCTTTTGTAACTGCGGTTCGACTTTCAACGATAACCATGAATAAATTCGGATGATCTGTCAGGTCCTCAAATTTTTAAGGAATCTTTTGGATGGTTTCATTTTTGCTCATAAGTTAGTCAGTTAGTATCGTTTCTTAGATATCCCTTTTTGATAAACTAGCGATCAAAAATTAATTTCCTTATAGATCAATTGTCACAAATCGAGTTCGTCTCATTAGAACCTCTAAATGATTCACAAACGTAAATCAATCGCAATCATTTTCTTCTTTATTATAAGACCCTCTAAATGACTCACAAACGTAAACCAATCGCAATCATTTTCTTCTTTATTATGGTGACTGTATTTCATTTCACACAAACGAGTTTACACACGAAAAACAGTTGACAAATTTCTGGTTTGTGATAAACGAAATAAATATCTAAAAATATTGCGGAGAAAAATGTTTATAAAAAGGTTTGGTGGATTCAGTACGATAGGAGTTAATGATAAATGCAAAAATTGCTGGGAAGTGCTTTCTTGCTTGAAGAATTGACATATTTCCTGCAGTGAAAACTTGCATAAAGTTAACACTGGACTGTAAGTGTTATTCACAACTTTCAAATTTGGAAAAATCTTCTGGATTCAATTGATGCCACTTTAATTGCAAATATCAATTTCTTTTGTGATGTTTATATCTAATTAAAGCGAAACTTTTGAAAAGTTATTAGCAACATTAATAATAGCTTCAACTGCAAGTTTTACAATGAAGAGTATTCTGAATAATACAGAAAAAATACAAGCCTCAAAATGTGAACTTTTCTTTATGAGCAGTATTAAAGAAGGAAATATAAAACATAGAACTGCATAATTCAAGAATATATATTGCTATATTTATTTTTAATATTAAGAAAATACAAATCGCTTATTCATTTGATATTTATTAAATTACTAGAGCCATTGAAATTGGTTTACAAGCGTTTTTATGAATTATTTATTCCACTGATAATCACCGCCAACAGAATTACCTTCACCAGTATAAATACCTTCACCAGTATAATCACCTTGACCAGTATAACCACCTTCACCAGTATAACCACCTTCACCAGCATAACCACCTTCACCAGCATAACCACCTTCACCAATATAATCACCTTCGCCAATATAATCACCTTGACCAGTATAACCACCTTCACCCGTATAACCACCTTCACCAGCATAACCACCTTCACCAGTATAACCACCTTCACCAGTATAATCACCTTCGCCAATATAATCACCTTCACCAGTATAATCATCTTCACCAGTATAATCACCTGCACCAGTAAAACTACCTTCACCACCACAATGACCACCAAGAACATCACCGTAAGCACCTTCACCAGCATATTCACCACCAAATTCACCACCATATTCACCACCATATTCACCACCATATTCACCACCATATTCACCACCATATTCACCACCATATTCACCACCATATTCACCACCAAATTCACCAGCATATTCACCACCATAATCAACACTATAACCACCACCATAATAACCATCCTCATAATCAGCTAACATTTCAATAGCCGCGTTTCGACTTATTAGTTGTTCCGGACTACTTCTAATAGCACCCAAAATTTCAATATTTTCATTGCCGTTTCCATTACTACCTAGGTGGTCAACTGCTCCTGCGTAACGTACCATTCTATTGTATGGCCTGCCAGACGAGTGAGCACCTATTGATTCGTAACTGATACTCCTTGCAGACACGCAATTCAACACAAGAATTACGCTTACGAGACGGATTAAAAGTTTCACCTAAAATTTTTTTATTCAATACAGAAAATTGGCTCTCAAACGGATTTTTCACATACCATTTTACCCACTGTTCAGTTTTACGATTTTGTCTTCAAAATTTCGATTTCATGATAAGACTTGATAGGTGACTACCTTAGTATTGAACTATTATAACTTCTAGAGGGGATTTTATACTGATCATAGATAGTGAAATTCAGTTCGAAGTGAAATTTACTGAATAACTTAAAACAGATGTTCATTAACTTCTTATGCTTGATTTCTATTATAAGAAAAAGTATGTAAGCTTATAATCTGACATATCAGTATATATTATTTTAAAATTGTATACTGAATATTTCATGAAAAAATTTTGTTGATAGAAATATTTTCGCTTTATTCGATATTGACATTGTTAAATTCCGATTCTTTTGTAACTGTGGTTCAAGTTTCAACGATAACCATGAATAAATTCGGATGATCTGTCAGGTTCTCAAATTTTTAACGAAACTTTTGGATGGTTTTACTTTTGCCCAAAAGTTACTCAGTTAGTATCGTTTCTTAGATATCCCTTATTGATAAACCAGCGATCAAAAATTAATTTCCTTATAGATCAATTGTCACAATTCGAGTTCGTCTCATAAGAACCTCTAAATGACTCACATACGTAAATCAATGGCAAACGTTATTTAATAGTGTAATAAACGTCTGTGGCAACTATTTTCTTCTTTATTATGGTGACTGTATTTCATTTCACACAAACGAGTTTACTCACGAAAAACACTTGACAAATTTCTGGTTCGTGATTAACGTAGTAAACATCTGAAAATATTGCGGAGAAAAATGTTTATAAAAAAATTTGGGGAATTCAGTATGATAGGAGTTACTGATATTTGCAAAAATTGCTGGAAAGTGCCTTCTCGCTTGAAAAATTGACATATTTCCTGCAGTTGACACTGGACTGTAAGTGTCATTCACAACTTTCAAATTTGGAAAAATCGTCTGGATTCAATTGATGCCATTTTCATTGCAAATATCAATTTCTCTTGTAATGTTTATATCTAACTAAAGCGAAAATTTTAAAAAGTTATTAGCAACATTATTAATAGCTTCAACTGCAAGTTTTACAATGAAGACCATTCTTAATAATACAGAAAGGCATATTTAAAAATACAAGCCTCAAAATGTGAACTTTTCTTTATGAGGAATATAAAAGACAGAAATAAAAAATATAGAACTGCATAATTCAAGAAATTGTATTGCTATATTTACTTTCAATTTTTAGAAGATACAAATCGCTTATTCATTTGACATTTATTAAATTGCTACAGCCTTTGAAATTAGTTTACAAGCGTTTTTATAAACTACTTATTCCACTGATTCATAATCACCGCCAACAGAATTACCTTCACCAGTATAATCACCTTCACCAGTATAATCACCTTCACCAGTATAATCACCTTCACCAGTATAATCACCTTCACCAGTATAATCACCTTCACCAGTATAATCACTTTCACCAGTATAATCACCTTCACCAGTATAATCACCTTCACCAGTATAATCACCTTCACCAGCATAATCACCTTCACCAGTATAATCACCTTCACCAGCATAATCACCTTCACCAGTATAATCACCTTCTTCAGTATAATCACCTTCACCAGTATAATCACCTCCACCACCACAACTACCACCTAAATCATCATCGTAAGCACCTTCACCAGCATAATCACCATCATATTCACTACCATAATCATCACTATTATCACCACCATAATCTTCACCATAAGAGCCACCATAATCACCACCATATTCACCACCATAATCAGCACTATTATCACCACCATAATCAACACTATTATCACCACCATAATCTTCACCATAAGAGCCACCATAATCACCACCATAATCACCACCATAATCACCACCATAACCGCCAGCATTACCACCACCATAATAACCATCCTCATAATCAGCTAACATTTCAATAGCCGCGTTTCGGCTTAATAGTTCTTCCGGACTACTTCTAATAGCACCCAAACTCTCAATATTTACCCTGCCGTTTCCATTACTACCTAGGTGGTCAACTGCTTCTGCGTAACGTACCATTCTATTGTATGGCCTGCCAGACGAGTGAGCACCTATTGATTCGTAACTGATACTCCTTGCAGACACGCAATTCAACACAAGAATTACGCTTACGAGACGGATTATAAATTTCTCCTAAAATTTTTTTATACAATACAGAAAATTGGATCTCAAACGGATTTTTTACATACCATTTTAGCCACTGTTCAATTTCACGATTTTATCTTCAAAATTTCGATTTCATGACAAGATTTGATAAGTGACTACTTCAGTACTGAACTGTTATTACTTCTAGAAGGGATTTTATATGGATCGTATATAGTAAAATTCAACTAAAAGTAAAATTTACTGATAACTAAAAACAGATGTTAATTTCCTTTGCTTGATTTCAATAATAAGAAAATGTAACTGGAATGGATAAGTAATCATACAGAAACGCATTACTTAAAAGTCTGGTAGTGAATAAATATATCTGTTAATTCTCTAAAAATCATTTTAAAAATTAATATAGAATATTTTCTGAAAAGATTTGGTTGATAGTAACGTTTTCGCACTATTCGATATTGATATTGTTAAATTCTAACTCTTTTGCAAGTCTGGTACGTATTCCAATGACGATGATGGTATTCGGATGACAAGCAGTAGAATATATTCATTGGTTAATAATTTCATTACTATTAGGTGGAATATGTAGTATTCACACTTACACCCCTTAAATTTTAAATTAAACTTTTGGATGGTTTCAGTTTATTCCATAAGTTAGTCAGTTAGATTTGTTTCTTAGCACCCTTTTTGATAAAACTGCGGTCAAAAATTTACTTCCTTATAGACCAGTTGCCAGTGACACATAATTT